AACGGACTTGACTAGTAAAGAGACGACGAAACTTCCCAATGGCGAAGAAGAAGACGATGAACACACTAGTAACAGTCTCCGCTTGAAACCCCTAAAAAACCAAAACCTTCGATTTTCACCAGATTTCAATGGAAGAAGAGAGCCGAATTGGGGACGAGCTTTCGATTTCGCTTCTCACGGCGGAGCGCCTCCGTGTATCGGTTGATGAATCCGAATCTTTCAAAACAGAGTGCTCTGAAGTTGGTAAACAAGTAGATCGGCTTGCTCAAATGCTCAGAACACTTGTTCGTCTTGTCTCCAGTTCTCAACAAGTTTACGATCGGCCGATTCGTCGAGTTATCGTCGATGTTAAGAAGAATCTCGAACGAGCTTTTTCCCTTGTTCGCAAGTGTAGAAGACACAACGTGATCCGGCGAGTTTGTACTATCATCAACGCAGCCGATTTTCGTAAGGTGATTAATCTTCTCGAATCTTCTAACGGTGACGTGAAATGGATTCTGAGTGTGTTTGATTCCGACGGAGATGGAAGTTTCGGAGGTGGAATCGTGATTTCGCTCCCACCGATTGCTACGAATGATCCGATTCTTCCTTGGGTTTGGTCTTTGGTCGCGTCGATACAGATGGGGAAATTGGTAGATAAAATCGAAGCAGCGAATCAGCTTGGTTCGCTTGCTGGAGATAACGATCGGAACAAGAAGATCATTGTAGACGAAGGTGGTGTTTCTCCTTTGCTAAAGCTACTTAAGGAGAGTTCATCGACGGAGGCGCAAATCGCGGCGGCTACTGCTTTAGGGTTTTTGGCTTGTGATGAGGATAAGGTTAGGTCTATTGTTAATCAACTTGGTGTTCCGATTATTGTTCAAGTACTTGGGGATTCTCCGGTTAGAGTTCAGATTAAGGTAGCTACATTGGTTGCAAGAATGGCGGAATTCGATCCGGTTGCTCAAGATGAGTTTGCTAGACAGAGTGTGATTAAGCCTCTAGTTACGCTGCTTTCGCTTGACGTATTTGTCGATGATCTGCAGTTGAGTAAGCATAATAGTATTCATTCACTTGTTCAGATGAACAAAGACATTGAGAAAGATCCATCCGTGAAAATTTATAGGCCGTATAAGAGTTCGAAGTCGAATGTGTATCGTGACATTGGGGGTAGTGGTAGTAGAACAGGGAATGTCAAGAAGGAGAGGGATAATGAGAATCCGGAAGTTAAACATGAGCTTAAGGTTAATTGCGCGGAAGCTCTATGGATGCTTGCTAGAGGGAATGTAGCAAACAGTAGGAGAATAACCGAGACGAAAGGGTTGCTTTCTTTGGCGAAGATAGTGGAAAAGGAAGTTGGAGAATTGCAATACAATTGTTTGATGACTCTTATGGAGATAACCGCTGCTGCAGAGTCGAGCGCTGACCTTAGACGAGCAGCTTTTAAGACCAATTCACCGGCTGCTAAAGCTGTTATTGACCAGCTGCTGTTAATAATCAAAGAAGTCGATAGCCCGATTCTGAAAATCCCAGCGATTCAATCGATTGGGTCATTGGCTAGGACATTCCCCGCTAGAGAAACAAGGATGATTGAGCCATTGGTCAAGAAACTGGGTAGTAGCAACCAAGAAGTGGCGATAACAGCTGTAATTTCATTGCAGAAATTCGTCTGTCCCGAGAATTTCCTCTGCACAGAACACTCGAAGAACATAATCGAATACGGGGCAATCCCGTTACTGATGAAACTAATAAGGAACTTCGAGCAGCAAGTGCAGTTACAGTGCCTGGTTCTGCTGTGTTACCTTTCAATGAATGCTAGTAACCATGAGCAATTGGAACAGGCCAAGGTTTTAACGGTCCTCGAAGGTGCAGAACGCTTGGCGAGTCTACAGAATCCGGAGTTGAGAGAACTTGTATCAAAAGCAATATATCAGCTAAGTTTATACAATGCAGGAAGTCACAGTCAAATGCTATCGTATGTTGGTCCTTAACGCGGGCAATATAATTTACAGTTTGGTTGGATTCTGGTACAGACAGAATCTCCGTTGTTAGATTACAGGGAAAGAGCAAAAGCAGAATCTCTCATTTTGTGATCAACACAATTTAGATCATCGATAGCTCAAATCCTACATTGTAAATGAAACGAACCATTAGATGGTAAGGTAATAAAACTTGCTTTGCTTTGTCTGGTTTTCTTGGTACAATTTATGATTCTGAATTTTTTATGCATTTCGGGACAGGTTTCTCGGCCAGATCTGTATCCGTCCGAATTTCTCGTCTCAAATCCGTTTCTGCTAAAATAAAATTTTTTTACCCATTAGGGGATTCGGATAACCTTAAATTTAGGGAGGGTTGGGAAGATCATCTTACCAAGTGCCCTACCAAGCACTTTGCCAAGAACCTACCTGCCCCTTAATTAGGTTGGGCGCTTTCCCTTGAGCTTGGTAAGGGGCTTGCAGTGAATTTAGCAGCATGAACTTTGATATAATAGTTTATAAAAACAAAATAAAAAACTTTGATATCTATATATATAATTGCGAGGTGATTTTTCTTGCGTGACGGCTCCAGAATGAATTTAAAAGTTTATTTGCCGAAAATACTCTTACTAATTCGCTTTAATCACGTATTCATGTTCGTGTCGGTTTGTTAATTGGGCTTCTAATGGTTTCGTTGTTAATATAGCCCTTGGGCCGTATTTAAGTATTTTGTTTACCCTACTAATTGATTGTGAATATATATGACGCGGTCTACGCTATTCTTTGTTAATATTTTAGTATCTTTGATATTTTAGGTTTTATGTTCTTCTTCCTTCTCATCGTGTTTTGCTTTATTTTTTTTATTCCTTTTGTATCATGTCTCTCAACTATTTACGTATTGAATGTGTTTTTTCTATTTTGGCAGGACATCTTTTTCGTTTGTTCTATTCCAACATCATCACTCTGTGTTTAATATGATATCGGGTATGTGTTGTA